CTTTAATATATATATATACATATATATATATATATATACATACATATATATACACACACATACATACACACACATACACACACATTTTTTTGCACTTATTGTTATTGCTATTATATAGGGGGATAACAATCCCCCTATATAATAGCAAAGGCACACTGACAGGTCCTCTTTATGGAGACATTAGGGGTCTCTAGGACCCCTGGGCCTTGCGAAAAACGAGCACATATAGGCGATCGGCGGGCTATGGAGCCGCCGATCGTCTATATGTGAAACACCCGGTAACGGGTGTTTGCAATGGTCGGGTCTTTTCTGCACGTGCATGCCCGCTGGAGACGGCAACTCGCCAATGCTGCAGTGCCGTCCGTTTTTTTACAACGGGCGGACGGCAAGTGGTTAAAGAAGTATTCTCCATAAAAGGTAAACATTGATTCTTAATAGTTTCAGCAACGTTTCCCCAAGCGCCTGGTGACCAAGTCTTCAGCTTAGTTGGTTAGACAAGATTCTTTACACCATATACACAGAACTTTGTAACAGGTCACATCTAAAAGATAAACTCTCTCCCAATAATATGGCCTGTGTATGGGATCATTAAATAGACTGTCATGAAGCAACACATCTGTGTGACTTGGCTGCTATGGATGCCGTTTGCATCTAACTCATGTGCTGCTTATGAATTCTGCAGCAAGCCAATAGGTTCAGCTTCACTGTCCTAGAAGTATACAGTTAGAAGTGACTACTCAGCCAGATCACCCATGTGTTTTGCTTTGTAATAGACCAACTTTAAAGAAACATATCTACGACAAGCTTGAAATTGCAGTTATATAAATAACCTCTATAGAATAGGAGTTTCTGAACATACTAAATATTACAGTACAATATTCAGCCCACTTACTGTAACACTGCATACAAACTTGATCCAAAATTTGGCAAAACTTGGATGTTAAAGGTGGCAAGGGTTCCAGTTCAATTTTTTTAAAGTCTTCTGGGCAGTCTTTTTTTAGATGTCCTTCTTTCTTACACAGGTTACACACAACAGTAGGCAGCTAGGTTCCAAAAATAAAAAAGACACATTAAGGATTTCAGAGAGATTACCTGTCAAGCCAGTTTTTTGTTAAAGGCTGCAGCCCTAGGCCGGTTTACAATAAAATAAGAGGCCCCAGATGTACTCCAATTGAGAAGTTCTACACTCCTTTACATCATTTTAGAATCGAATACTACAGGAATGTTTTATGGACCCTCTCTTAGGGATACAATATTGCAAGGTACAGGTAATCCGGTTAACAACCAAAATGCTGTCAACATAGATGCAGCCCTCAGTGCACTTAATGTGGACTCTTGTATTCATTCCAAATAAATTTGGCCCTAGACTTCAGTGGGCTAGGAAAAATAGGATTGTCTTGTGACCGTCTCTGATTGATCATAGAATCTATCATAGAATGCAGCCCTCTATGCAAAGTGTCTTCATGCACTTTTTTTTGTGTGCATCTATAAGATGTCAAGAATGGAGCTGGGTGGTGGGTTGATGCACACACAAGTTCTATAATCAGTGCTTTCTCAATGGTTAAGAGTATCATGGGACCCAGAAGCAGTGGTGCAAGAGGGTGAGGTGACTGGGGCCAAATACTGTAATAGCAGGAGGTGGGCACCGTGAGGAGGTAAATGTGGAAGTAAAAAACACATTAAAGTAAGAGCCCCCACCAATATGCAGACAGTTCTGCTTTAAAATGCACCTGCACTTTCCCTAGCCCCCTGCAAAGTCTCTCAAACCGCCGTTCCTGCCAGTAAATCCCACTTAATGCAGCTTCCTGTGAATGGTACATGGCTGAACAAGTGTCAATACTCTGCCTGTATGCATTACAGTAGGATGAGAAGATGGAGGGAGTATGACTTCTGCTGTGACGCTGCCGATTCACAAGCCTGCACAATGTAATCCAGCAGCTGGCTACACCAAGCCCTGCCCAGTGATTTTTGGATTGACATTGCCTTTGCTGCTGAAAACTGCCCCTTGTGAGCTGCAGTGTCTGGGAGGGGGCGCATGTGAGGAACAAATTAAAGATTTAGTTCACTCCGGGGTGGCAATTAACATTTTGTTTTTCTTTACCATATGATTACGCATCACACAGTAACACAGATTTGGGAACCATTTACACGGTCGTAACTTTTTTTATGTACTTAAGTGAATGCAATCATGTATATAGGAAAATTGACAACCCCAGGAGAGGAATAAAGAAAATTTGGTGGGTTAAAACATTACAGCCAATTCCCCAATGTCTTTTGCCGATTAACAAAAAAAGTTCTGTCTAAAGGAAGGTATGATTACTTCCAAATTAATTCTCCCTCCCTATCCCATATGTTACATAATAACATTTAGGTCATACCTTGCCTTTGGTGAAAGTAGGCTTGCTAAATTCATAAAATAAAGTAGCATCTTCAATGCCACAGTTGTCAGTGGCGGTGATTAACTGTTTGGGATCTTCATCTTTTAAAGTACCAGGGAATTCTACATCGGCTTTTAAAATACCAGAAGACACATGTTCCGTCAGCTGGTCGTCTTCAGACAAGAGATCATCTGCTGAACCAGGATACGTGTTCTCTAGCTCTTCATCTGCTGTAAGACTATCCAAATGCTCTCTGCGATTCAAAAGTAAGCCGTTTTCCTCATCTTCTTCATCCTCATCATCTGAATTATTCGCCATCTCCTCTAGTTCATCATCCTCTGTACTTTCCTCATCCAAGTCCGCCTTTCCAGCATACATGTCCGCACCGTCTAAAGGAAAGTCATGACCCTCAGCCCCCAAACCCCCCTCGAAGTCAGAAAGGCTGTCCGTTTCTTCATTGCCTGCCACATGAGCATCTCCGCTCTCACTGTCATCATCAAAGCCATGACTAATCAAAATGTAATCATTTTGTTGCTTTTCCTTTGCCACAGGCTGGTCATCATTGGACCCTTCATGAGCAATCTCTAGATCTTTACAGCTCTGGATGGCATCTTCAGGGTTTGCCAGAGCTTCCTCAGTTATACAATCATCTTCGATAGCAAGATCAGCAAGTGTGTTAAATACTAGCTTTTTCTTTACGACAATGTTTAACCCTTCACAGTGGCTCATACCAATGGCAGAATTGTTCACTTTGTTTTCATTGTCGTCTATGGACAAATTTTCCAGTTTTTGACTTGCATCAAGAATGAGGTTTGATTGTTTTTCACTTTCACTCTTGATTCGTATGCCTTCCAGATCAACTGAGGTAGCATTGGTGGGCTTCTTTTTGGATTTCTGAGACTTACTTTGTGGCATGGCAAAATATTTGTATGTAGCCTTCAAACAGTGAAGCATGAACTCAAACACTAACTGACTGTTCAAGGATCTTGCAACATTCCTCTTAACAGAGTATGGATCTACATATTAAAGACAAAACATTGTTAGGCTTTGTATGAAGTATATCAGCTGATGTTTAAGACAAGTAAAGCAATATTACCTTCCACAGCAATACGTTTTTTAGGCCAGTCCTTTAATTCCCTGGATATTTTCTCCTTAACACGTACATTGATGACAAAGTCACCCATATTGAACTCCAAAGCATAAAATTTTAACAGGTCAACCCACAGCTGACCAACGGAGGCAGAACACTGTTTCTCCGCAGGAAAGATGACTGGAACCTGTAAAAATGATAGGTACGTTTATAGGATTTTCATACTCTGGGTGTCTGACCACATATATGTAAACTAACGTTGTTGCCCTCTTGGAAAATATGTGCATTTGCAATTGGCATAATTGATTAAAGTAGGATGCAACGTGCAGGGAATCGCCCATGCAAGGAAGTTGCTAAAAAAAAAAAGGTGTATGAGCTAGAAAAAAAATACTATTAAAAATTGTTGTATTTTCTAGTGTCCCAGGGTTTTTCATCTGACAAATAATTTGTGTTTAAAAGAGAACTATGGGGTAACCTTTCTATCCCATAGTTCTCTTTAGGGTCACGGGAGGACATGTCATATACTAACCTCCTCCTCTCTGCAGGGAGATGATCGGGAAGTGAGCGAGTGACTATGTGTTCGCTCACCTCCCAATCAATAGAGCCGTCTTGTGACAGTTTCAATATCACATGTCGGCTCCAACTATGTGGATGAGTGTAAATCACTCACCTCAGTTCTCCTTTAAGTTTAAAGCCCAGTTCCACACGTGAGAATTTCTCTGGATTACGATATGAAAGTAATTCTTACCCAAAGCATTGTAGTGATATATATTTGGCTTTCCTCTCACAGTTTATAAAGTGCTCTCCCAAACAGTAAAGCTCCTAGTGTATTGCAGTCATCAGTGCTAAAGTTCCGTTAGACACCAATGCTGGTGTGAGGTCTCCAACCACTCTCCACTTCACAAAAGGCACATCTGCAGGCAACATTTCTGAGTGGAGATGGGCTGAAATACCAGTGTCTAAGAAAACTTCAGCACGGATGTCTGAGCTAGAAGCATGGAATTAACCAGGAGAGCCAAGAAAACACTTTTACCTTTGCAATGACAGACATTTGGCAGTCCTATAGCAGTTTGCAAAGAACTACATGCATATCCTAATCCAGAGAAATCATCGTGCCTGGGTTGGTCTATAAAGAGCAGCCATGATATTGGAAATGCATTTTGTAACATACAAATATACCTGTAAGAATTTGCAAGTAACCAAAATAGCTACCCAATATTCTGCTGCTGGAGGGTTTTCAAATTGTGCCTTGATTTCTGCAGGCTCGGTCAGCTCTGCTATACGCTGTACACTACATGTGTGAAGATGTGAGCATGTGCAATAGGTCAGATTAACTGCAAGGGAAGATTGTGTGCAGTGTATACAAGAAAAGTGACTGGGTTAAGATGCAGCAGCAGGGATACTTAAACTAAAACATAATTGCTAAGCTTCAACAAAAAAGTATTAAGCTACTTTTAAGTACAACTGTCTATTAATGAAGTTATAAAAAAAAAAAAAAGGGTGGGGATTGGTTTTAGTACCCATTGAACTTGCCAGTAGATTAATAATGTATCCACTTCCCTTAACAGGCCAAGTTATCCAGCAAAAAAAGGTGTCAGTGACAGGGTTTGGGATAATCCATAAACGCCAGCTTGATATGCTTTAAAAATTTTTTCCAAAAGAATAAGTTGTTGTAACTGCTTAAAAACTACAAGGTAATAATGCTGTATGACTTTCCTGCAGAACTGCCTTGCCACACTATTATAGGAAAAGGAAATATAATTGATCTACTGGCAGGATCCACGTGTAATAAAACCAAGTTACAGTGAGTGTGGGTGTTCTTGTTTTATCAATTCATTATTTGATTGTTAGATTAGATATGGAATGCAACTTTCTAGCAAAAAAAAGGTTTTATTACTCATCTGCTAAATGTCAGTTAATGCTAAAACATAAGACTACTTACCTTTCCGTTTAACTGGCGTTGCTCATTTTGGAGACTCTCCCCATCTCCAGCAGTCTGTATCCAAGTCACATACTCCTTGTCAAGCTCTCGCAAGCTAAATTGGCCCAGTTTGGACACGGAAAAGCCTTCAATCTGAAATGCACAAAAAGACATTCAAATCCTGCATTCAGTCTCAAAAAAGGGGGGGACTGAGAGAATTGCCAGACTTCCATATGCGAGCGTGGACCCCCCCCCCCATTAGAGATGTAGCTTTCCTCTCTACACTGATGCATTTTTATTGAATTTCACAGGTGCATATGAAGAGTACAGCAATGAATGGATACAAGGTAGAGCAAGTTATTACATGCTTCAGTTGTATGCTGTAGCCTAGGAACCAGCAGGCACCATTAAATATCCGCTGAACGTGAGCTTTCGTAGACAACAAATTAGGCATTTTTTGCAATTGCCTGCCTGGCTCCCTAGTGTAGCTCTGTTTTCATTAATAAACTGGCATGCTGATGGGAGGAGAGCAGTGTGACAGAACAGCGCATGAGCGTGCTTATTCTCCTTTCACTGTCCTGTATGTGCTACTGATCTGCAGCAGAAAAAAAAAAAATGGGTCTTCTGTCTTGCAAGATCTGAATGTGCTGTGTGCCATACCTGTGCAACTCTTATGACTGGATGGACAGAAACACAAATCTTTTTGCAAGTAAAACAGCTCCAATATATGCATGGTTTGACTGGAGTTTAGCATTAAATATCCATAAACATTGTGTCGTTTTCTACATTGTAACTATATACATAATCTTAGACCAACATCACCCAAGACTTTTAGATATTGGGATTATAAAGAAGTGGCAGTACATACCCATGATCCCAAATACACCGGTAGAACAGACTCATTTCTTTGTTGAAAGAAGAACACAACCATGAGAGCAAGTACATATGGTGGTAAACCCCCTTCTTCAGGTCTGTCTATTCCACAGAGCTGCAGACAAAATATAGAGTTTAGGACAAAAGCAAATACTTAAAATGAAAAGTAATATGAATGCAAGATATGGTAATGGCTGCTTGTTAAACCAAACTTAAAATAACAAAAAGCTGTACCTATTAAATCAGTGATTCTTCATTTTCTCAATAGAAATCTGATTTGCCAGACCCCCATTCAACCAAGTGCCACTATATGACGGAGGGTTGATCACAGGGCTCCTATGGCACTCAGACAATTCTTGGTAAATGTAAACAAAGCATCTTAACCCATTCATGTTAGCAGTGCAGAATTGTATATCTATATGTACTGTACAGTTACAGCACAATTGTCCCATACATTGCAGCAATAGATTTAGAATGATCCCCTGCTAACATGAATGGGTGAAATGATCCATAGTACAACTACATGTTATGTACTATGGATCATGATTTAACCTATTCATGTTAGCAGGGCAGAATTGCTTATGGATCATTTAAAGTCACCTGTCCCTTTAAGAAAAAGTATCAGTAATTGGTATCGGCAAGTACATGAGGTAAGACGTACTTGGGCCTGAAAAAGTGGCATCGGGACATCTATATATTAGGGATGGACCGATACCACTTAAGGCCGAGTACCGATACTGACTGGTGAGGAAGCCTGTCAATCATCCAATGATGTCAATCATCCAGATGACAGAGGAGGTCGCAGCCATCTTGCTTCATTGAAGACGCGATGGGAGGTCCTGTGTGCGGCGGATTCGGGTCCCTGAAGATGGCGGACACGGCACAGGTACTCGTTTTATGTATCGGAGTATTTGCACGAGTACGATGCTTGTATCGGTACATCCCTACTACATATATATATATATATATACACACACACACACACACACACACATACACACATACTAGTTGCCTGGCAATCTCTGGCTTTAACCCTACAAGTCAAGCCCCCTGAAGCAGGAATTTAGATTATATGGATTTTATTGCCTAGATACCCGTTGGCAGCTTCAGGGCTACTGGGGTACTCTAGATGATGCATGGCCTTGTGTGCAGGCATGTTAAGATAACTACAGTTTAGGATAATTAAAGTGAACAAAAAAAAATACTGCTTAGCCTCCTTTGGGAGTCCAGAGCCACAACAAATGTATTCAGGATTGAGAGTAGTGCAGAACAGTGAACTCCCAATTCACCAATCTCTGCTATATTGAATGAACTCAGAAGTGAGCAGCTCTGAGCCCTTTAAAAAATGTAACTCTTCAGAACCCCTGAGGTGGCGCAAAACATGAAGAACAAGAACACCATCTATAGGGGCTAGTGGCATCAGGGATCACCTACTCAAAATTATAACAAAGTGGGCTTGTCAGCAATGTTGTGCATTGGCACATGCATTGTCATAGAAGTTCTTGTACTAAAGGGTACAGTTGTCTTAACATGCGTTACTGGAAAGCAAAAAGGTGTGGAGTCAGCTTAAGACCCCAAAAAACCCAACATGTACAATATATTAGGATGTATGTAGTAAAACCAAATTGTGTGACACATAGGTATACCCTGCACATCGAGGTAGAACTCTTAGGACAATCATTAAGGTTTAAAATAATGAGCTTTAAAAAGGGCTTTTTTTAAAAATTACACTGTGGTTATATGCCATCAATATACTACCACACTTTGCCAAGACCAGTGCACACTTTCAAGATTTACTAAATCCATCTATGAAATGTTATAACTTCACAATAAACCATGCAAAGAATAAAACAGTAAGAGCATTTACCTTTGCCCAGTATCTAAAAGCCACAACCAGAGGCATGAGCCTTGATTCCAGTAAGCCCAAAGTAGTGAGAAGGCTGGTAGTGAGACAAGCATTTTCATTGCCGGCACTTACTTTACAAAGACGACCACTATCGGGAAGAGTGAAAATTAAGATTCACATTAGTGTTAGATAGACTAAAAAATTTGATATAGTACATATCTGCACATATCTATTTGATAAGGTGGAGCACAAGCCAAGCACTGGCAGGTGCTTTATGCGAAGAGAACATTTGAACCCAAGTACAGGTTCTGGCATATCTCCCAGATTCAGTTAAGTATAGCTTTCATCACTGGAACAGAAGAGGGGGAAAAAAAAAAAAAACTCAGTTCACAAGTAGAGGAATGGTAGCCAACAAATGCACCCAAGTGAAAGCATCATGGGCCAGACTGAAAATGGCACAGATACAGCTAAAAAGAGAACAGTTAGGGCAGTTCCAGCATATTGTTTTTGCATTTCTTCAAGCAAAAGAGCAGTTTAATAAAGTGAGACATCCTTCATTACTTTGAAGGCCCAAAGTGCAAGTTCCTTTTTGCCTAGACTTCAGCTTTATCATGCATTTTACCAATAGTTTTAAGAATAGTTAATAAAATTTACAAAAAGTGTTCAAACCTTCTCTTTTCTGTACAGACCACAACGGGCACTCTTGCGTGGAAATCAGCATCGAAGTCTACGAACAAATCTACAAATTGTAAAGATGGCTATAAATGTTAGAGGAAAGCCTACACATATGAAAGCAAAGCAAGCAAATCTGCACTATAAAAACCGAAAAAAAGCCCCTCCAATGCAGATGGGTGCAAGTGAATTAATTTAAAGCACACTGGAGATAGTAGGCAATTCCCCAGGTGCAAGGAGTGGTATCCAAGGTCTCTACAATACATATGCACAATGTTGAATTTATCAGTTTTCCTGCATAGCCTAGCAGTGGTACAATGACAATTTTTAAAGCAAACTACCTCAAACAAATAGCCCTATATGAATCTTGCATATGGCCTTTTTTTTCCCCCTGAATGGGACTTCCGTTACTCTAATTGGCATTGGCAAAAAAAAATATCGGTACTCGGTACCAAAATACCGGTATCGATGCATCCTTGGTTTTAACCATTTCTGAAGCATGGACCTGATGATCAGGAATTCTGACTTCTAATGAAACCAAACTAACTTTATAGGATTACTAGCAGGTAGATCATAATGGCAGAATAGACCCACCAATAGCCAAATCGAGAAGGCAGAATGGATAGTTTTTCTCCCATTCACAATAAACCACACACCCCCCCCAGCAAACTAGCAATTATTCTTACCACTATGTTTCAGGCTGTCTTGAACTAATAAAAGAACATCTGGTTGATTCATCTGCAAAAAAAAAAAGAAGTTATTTCTTGGCCCACGTTATCTTTTACCCAGTTGAAATACAAAGTAAATACGTCAGATTCCAAGCGGAGGAGGAAGACTTACACTGGCAGGAAATTGAATATCTATGTTCAGATCAGAGTTTTTGAATCCCATTCTGCTGCAGGAGGATCCATACAGCCTAAGGGAGCAGCCTGTGAATGTAGAAAGAAAGAATATAAAAAGGACTAGATAAAAAAATTTAAATAAATTACAACCACTTAATAAGCAAACTTGCAACAAACCTGGAAGATTTTCATGAATAAGTGCTTCCATAGCAGAGACTGTGGATAGCCTTTCAACCAAGTCTTCTTCATCCATACCATGCTCCTGAACCACTTTACTAATTGCTACACCGATTGCTTGTATTTGGGATTCAGTTGGTGGTGGCAGAGTCATCAGTAATTCCTCTTGCCTTTTTTCCTACAAAACCAAACTTATGATAATTATTCACAACGACAATACACATGTCATAAAGCTAAGTAGAGTTATATAAAATTAGGGCAAGCTTAAAAACTAAACAAAAAAAATTGTATACACATTATATATCTATACATCTCCAGCATCTAATGAAGCACTTCCCAACTCCTATCAGCATCACGAGATGCCAGATGGAAATCTAGTGCCTGCAGACTACATAGATATTAGTATAGTGCAGCAATCATTTTACCACTATACAGGAGTACAGAGTTTCCAGTAGGGATTCTGCAAGGCTTCAAGTGACATTAAGTGCAAAATTCTCTCCCCAGCCCCACAGTGCTAATGTAGGGACTTACCTTAAATGATGCCTCTTAATCCAATCATCTTCCTTGTTTCCTGTAGTTTTTAGCTGCCTCTCTGGTCTGTGCGGATGCACGCTGCCCCATTAGACTTACCTTGTGTCTCTCCTAGTCGCCGGCCGAACTGCGCATGCGCCCACCCCAAGATCTTATGCGGCCGCCTGAGAAATTTTCAGGTGTTTGGATGGGAGCACGTGGCGGAGACACAGGTAAGTATTAACCCTTTGAAAAAGTTTTTTTTTAAATCGTTTTACATAGATCTACTGCTTGCTAGCAGTAGATATCTGCAAAAACAAATGAGGGTTTAATAACCCTTTAAAAGAAAACAGCTCTGCAATGACCTCCACCAGTTCAAGTGCCTGAACACCACCTTCCAGAGCAAGAATAAAACTTCAGCGACTGAATCCCAAGACCTGTCTCCAAAACACAAGCATACAATGGGTATAGAAAAGAAACAACCACATTTTGTTACTTTGCAGCCTGAAATGAAGACCGTTTGTTTTATCCAGCTGTATTTACTCAGTGCAACTTATAACATCCAAGTTAAAGATATAACACCAACATGTCAGAAAAAAAAATATGAAAAAAAATCACTGAAAAGTATAAAGGATCACCCCCTCCTAAAAATCCCTTGTAAACGCAATCAGGTGCAGATAATCACCTCAATGGCACACAAAACCATGTGACTTTCAACTGTGGTCATTTTGATTACCTCAGCATAAAAAGCATTGTCCTGGAGCTTTACAGCCCCTGGGGAGTGCAAACTTTCAACTATAAGTGGCAAGACACTGTCAAAGAATCTCCGGGATAAAGTTGTGGACAGGCACAAGTCAGGCGATGGATACAAAAAACCCATCAAAGGCTTTATCAATGCCTAGAAGCACTGTGAAGTCAGTCATTAAGAAGTGGAAGGTATTTGGTACAACACAGTCACGACTGAGCTTTGACAAAATGCAGCTTGAAGATACCGAGGTCATATGGAAAAAAGGTGTTATGGTCAGATGAGAATAAACTTGAATTGTTTGGCCTCAAACAGCAAACTATATGTCTGGAGAAAATCCAATACAGCTCACTATCCAAACAACACCATGCCTACAGTAAAGCATGGAGGGGGTAATATCCTGTTATGGGGGTTTCTCTGCAGCAGGGACTGGAGCACTTGTTAGGATAGAAGGAAAAATGGATGGGGCAAAATACCATCAAATTCTTTAGGAAATTCTGCTGCCCTCTGCCAGAAAGTTGTCAATGGGAAGAAGGTTTACCTTCCAACATGACAATGACCCAAAGCGCACAGCAAAAATGACCACAAAGTGGTTGGAGGGAAAAAAAAAAAGGTGAATGTCCTTGCATGGCCTAGTGAGAGCCCAGACTTAAACGCTATTGAAAACCTGTGGAATGACTTGAAGACTGCAGTGCACAAACGGCCACCATCAATTTTAACTGAACTTGAGCAGAACTGCAAAGAAGAGTGGGCAAATATTGCAAAGTCTAGATGTGCAAAGTTACTAGAGGCATAACCCAACAAACTAAAGGCTATAATTAAAGCAAAAAGGTGGTTCAACAAATACTGACACAAGGGGGTGATCCTTTTTCCAACTGTTTTTTTTGTTTTCCCCTGGCATGTTGGTGATGTATCTTTTACTTGGATTTTATAAGTTGCACTAAGTAAATACAGCTGGATAAAAACAAACTGTATCCGTCTTCATTTCAGGCTGCAACACAACAAAATGTGATTTTTAAAAGGGAGGGCGATTCTTTTCTATACCCACTGTATGTCCTCATCCTGTGGAACAGCAGAGTCAGTCTTCCAGAAGCCACTGCCCCTTTGATGCATAAAGTCACTCTGAATATCTGCCTGGGATTTCCCCAGATGGTCAGGGCAGTACTATCATCCATCAACACACAGTACACACTTGTGATGCACATAGTAGAAAGCAATTCTTACCGTTCTCACCCAGAAAAGCAGTTTTGAGTGCCTAGTGTACATTGTACTACTCACGCATAGCATATAATACAACTTGCTTACCTTTAAATTCCTCTTGTGTCTTTTCTCTTTGATGTGTTTGTGTGCAGAGGATATAGAATCAACAAGGGCAGCACAAAGATCACATGTATAAATCGCTGTAGGATACTTTTGAGGGCGCTGCAAGATACCAAAAAAAACAAAAAAACCACAACTTAATTACCTATTCCAAAGCCATAAACAGTAAATGCTAATGCCAAGCAGAAGTATTGGACTGTTTACTAGATGCAGAAACAGGCAGCCACACTGATTAACTCAGATTTGTTTAGTAGAGGTGTCAGAATATAGCAAAGTGGGGAAACACAAAATCATGCCAAATCAATCCACAGCCAGCAAGTGCAATTCTGAAAGTCTTCAAGTGAAGAAAGTTACTAATTTTTTCATAAGACTTACAAAAGGTTGTGTGAAGCTTTTTCCAGTTATAAAATTAGTAAATGGTTTTCCTCTTTGAGCTAACCTAAATAAAACGTTTTTTCCTAGTGGTAGTTAAAAATACAGTCAGACATTAGGGAAAATGTGGTGGGGCAACTGTGGTTGTCCCCATGTTTGTTGAAAAGTAGTCACCACTCCAAGCTCACTCCCGTGATGGACTACAATCTCATGTTCAGTTTACCAATTTGTATTGAGATTGTAGTCCCATCACGGGAGTGAGCTTGGAGTGGTGACTACTTTACAACAAAAATGGGGACCATGGGGAACAAAAGTAGCCACCTTCCAGAAGGAAGGACAGTGTTAGCATGAATTCAGAGATGATTTGGGGGATCTACAGCCGAGTGATACGAATAAGCTACATTTTAATGCATTTTTAGGATTTAACTCTTGAGTTTAGTGTCACTCTAAAGCAAACAATAAAAATGACTGGGAACCTGCATGATGAACACTAAAGCTAGTGGGGATAAACATGAGAAATAACCCGATTCCCCTATCCACACTAAACCGCATAGGTGGAGGAATCTCCACTGCTGGCCATTGTATTCAGAGAGCCATCAACACCCCACAGCAGGCTGAATACCTGAACAGCACCTGCCTCAGACTGGATGAAGTTACTCTTTGGCCAACAATTTACCAATCAAAGTTTATGGAGCCTGGTTGTGCTAAAATGGGCAACACATGCCTTGAATTTTGGCTGATTTAGCATCATGCCTAGTTTAATACCCATTAACTATTAAGACAACAGAAAATTCAGTCATGCACTGGACAGGCAAGCAGGAATCTTGATACTTTTTCTGCAGGTCTACTTCTAGAACAAAGAAAAGAAATACAAGTACCTACATTAAAACAGCCAGTTTATGTACGGTATATCTTCCCGACTCTAAATTAGCACTGGTTCCTTAAATTTCAAAAACTTTATACATAAAAGAAATGGTATACAGAACCTCAGGGATAAATATACATTACAAAAACTCTTAATTTAAAATAAATTGCAAAAAAGTTATGATAGGGACACAAACTCATACAGCTAGCATTACAACAAATCAATGTGGTCTATAGCACATTAAACCACCTACTGCAGGTGTTTCAGGCAAGATTAGTTTTTTATTAAAACCAGCCCTATATACTCCCTATAACATAAGTGATCAAGCATTATAAAGATCAAAGTCTCATCACAGCAAGGCTATAGCAGCAGTATTATCAATGGAATGCAGGATAGATACACTATCAGGTCTGTGGAGATTTCCTGCAAATAAGGTTAGAAAATAGCTTTGTTTTCTCCACAATGAACAACTGCCATAACACTGTATCCTTGTTGTGCAAATAGATCTAACATAGATATTCTGGTCAAGAAAAACAAATTGCAGCTACCATTTGTACAATGGGTTACATGCCACAAGGATATAGTGCTACAGCAGTTGTCCATTGTGGATAGCACTAAAAAGAGAAGCTGGTCATCTGTATTTGCAGTCTTCTGTTGAATACCTGTTTCACTGTTACATTTGCACAATTGGCTACATGCTACAGGGATGCAGTGCTATGGCAGTTTTTCATTGTGGAGAGAATTAAACCATCTTCCCTTATTTGCAGGAAAGCTCCCGAGTCCCATCTATCCTTGCATTCCATGGATAATATAGCTGCTATAGCCTTGCTGTGATGAGATGGATTTTCATGGGGCCCGATTCTTATATGAAGAGGGAATATATGTGGTTTTTTTTATATATAAATAGTTAACCCCAAGTTAAACACCTGTAGTAGGAGGTTGCGGGGTTCAATGTGCTATAGACAACTGTGCCCTATTTTAAGTGATGACCCTATACGTTTCTGTGCTAGAACCATTACTTTTGCACAATGTAATGGCATTTAGCAGCAAGTTTTTGTATTTGATATTTATCCCTGAGGTTCTTTGTATCATTTATCATATACGCTACCCCTAAAACTGGCAAAATGCGCCCATTGGTAGTGCTAGTACCTTCAATACAATCCACTATGCTCTGGGGTTACAGAGGTACAAAAGGCCACTTCAAGACATAAGGCTGACCAGATTATATTAGATGTTTACTGAAGTCAGGCTTATGGTAACAAAGGGAGACTGAGGGGCACACAGAAGGGGTTCCTAGTGAGCAATGGCAGTAGAATACCTGTCTGCTCTTACCCTTTTTTTTTTTTACTTGTAAAAGTCTACAATGGCCTAGGAATAAGGGAGAAGCTCACTTTAAATGGCAAAAGTGTCACTCCTACCCCAAGTAGCAGCTCCAGGAGGCCCAAGGCACTTTTTGGATGTTCCATGCAGCTGCCCCAACCTAAACCTGGCTCTGCATTCTAAAAGGCAATTGGTCTAAAAATCAACTGTCCATCGAATACTTAATATGGAAACAGGTAAAACGGTCACTGTCCTTTCAAGTAGCAGGCTCATATGCTTTAGATGCTGAAGGCTAATGGCTAATACTTGGTCCAAAACCTAGCCCTGAAGAACTGCAATGCATTGACTGGTCGCAGAGACCAGTGATGTTGCATATACAATTTTTTTAAACCTGAAAGGGTTAGGTCTGTCACTGGTATCGGATATAGCCAAAAGGAAAACCATATAAAACCATATATTTAAATAGGTCATAATATTTTAGGCAAACACATATTGAAGGAAACACATCATAGGAATAAGCCTCTAAGTCTCACACTCCAAGCTCACTCCCATGATGGACTACAATCTCACATTTAGTTTACCAATTTGTATTGAGAGATTGTAGTCCACAAGAGTCAGTTTTGAGTGGTGGCTACTTTACAACACACACAGGGACCATGGGAAACAAAAGTAGCCACCCTCCAGAAGGAAGGACAGTGTCAGCACCAATTCAGAGATGATTTGAGAATCTACAGCTGAGTGATGCACAAATCAGACACATTTTTGTTCATAGTTAAAAGGTACTTGAATACATTTTTAAGATTTAAACCACAAGTTTAGGGTCAATTTAAGTTTTAAGGGAATTAGAAATGTAGTAACCATACTAAATGCATGGATACCAGTCTCCATTAGAACAGCAAAAATTCTACTGAAAGCCTAAAATAAAAAAAAAAAACACATTTATAAACAACCTGCAATAAGGAACACACAAACCGCCCTGCAGTGCATTTTCTGTGCTAGGTGTGATCCAAGAACAAGCAGTGAATTATCACAGCCCTGCTATTTTTAGAACATGAAATACAAGATTGTCTAAAGAGTATAGGCAGTGTAGGTGTCTCATACCCTTTTCAGTCTGTAAATACAGTCTCGCTTTAAGCGTTCCTCTGCTTGCTTGAGTCCCAGCAACTCCTTCTCGGACAATGTTGACTCATCTATGACCGGGCTTTCTAGGCAGTCATCCTCTTCCTGCTCAGACTTGTAGCGACGTCTGTCACGCTTTTGTTTATTTCGTGTCACTGGAAAAAAAAAGTTAAATAGGTTTTTAAAAAAAACTGCTGAGAACGTCAGAGAGAAAAAATAAAAAGCCCACACGCAACATAGAAAGTCACAATCTTAGCATAAAACAATGAAATGCCAGGTTTATTACATCTACTGCAAGGATGTTAGCAAACTGTAGGTCATATTCTTACCTCCTCCTCTTCTGAAGATGTAGCAATTACCCTTTTACTACTGACTCGTGAACATGATCAGAATAAGGTGTTTTGCACAGAACAGACATCTCTATCAAGTCTACAGGGACAGTCTGTACCCCCACAATCCCTTTTGAAGCTTCTACTCAGCTTGCAGGAAAACAGGAGTTAAAATGACCTGTGAAGATAGAAATATGCCTTGCCACAGCCAACATAGTTGCCGGCACTGCAGCTGTTCTAATCCAGCCTTTGCTACTTTTGTCACTGCCCCAGAAAATCCATGAAGCAAGTGACGTTTGTGTGTTTTTATGTTTTTCAAACTCCGATTCTGGCTGACTACTTGTTCAAACTCGGTGATGGAAGTAGTAAGGCAAGAATGACAGCTCAGAGTTCACACCTTCAAAACCAAGGCAACAATGGAAACTCCTACATTTCTATCTGGACAGTTTCACTTCATGTGTCTTGAAACACTGCTGCAAGTATTTTACACTATAATTGGAATTAGAAAAATCAAACATAAGCCAACCTGTCAGATACATATGGAGATCCTTCAGTTAGGCTCAAACAAAATCACAAAATTCAGAGGACTAAAATACAATACTTCATAAATGTAATATTTTATGTGATATTACCAGAAATGCCAGTTTGATCAGAACCATCTTCAGGAAAGGCACCTTTCTGTATCGGAGTTCTGCCCAATCGGTTACGACGCTCCCCGCCTTCCTGCCACCTACAACCATCAGCTTGCTCACCCGTTGAATCATTCCTTGCTCTGTTAAATGCCTGGGATCGCCTTTCCCTCCAGTTATCAGAGCTACTTCTCTGCTCTTCCGTCATCCACCTTTTGCCTCCATCCTTTTGATTAGTACCTGCTCGTCCCCCTGGGCTGAAGTTTTTCAAAGTGTTTTGAAGAGTCCCATTTCGGGGACTGCTACTATATGGAATAGGTTTAGACTTTTGGGGATCTAGCTTCTTTCCTTCATTGTTCCCATGGGAATCATGAGCCAAGTAGGACTGCTTTCCAGGAGTTCTTTTAAAATCTTCTTCATCCATTAAACCTCCGTTTTTGCTTCTCTTGGCAGCATCCCCCATTTTCAAAAGTCAGTCTGGCAAAAAGAATAAATATTAGCATCTTCACGATTATGTACTTTTCCCCCCAAAATGGGTTCATGATTAACATACATTGCAGCAAAGACATGACAACTCATTTATAAAAAGGTCTGACATGGCTTTTACCTTTTGTCAAAGGTTTTTCTGTATGTATTGCTCTAATTATTTTAATTTATTTTACACCCATACAATATAAAAACATTTTCTAAATTGTGGGTTTAATAAAAGCCATTAACAGTAAAACATGAAAACAAAAATCGGACTTGGGGCTTGCTCACAGCGCATTGCGACAATGTGCAGTAACAGCATGCATTTTCAGGGCCACTCCTACACACCACCAGAACACAAACATAAAAGCATCCATATATACAGTAGTAATATTAAGGTCCTCTTACATCTAGCAAGTTAGAGCAGGTTGGAGAGCGGTGAGCAGAGAACATCCATTCTCCGCTCTGTGTAAACAGTGAGGGGGAGAGCTGCATTTGCAGCCTTTACCTCAGCTGCGCTCAAACTCATGTATTGATTGATTTGCGCTAGATTCACAACGGTTCAACAAGCATTGGGGGACATACGGCGGTTTAAAGACAGTTTTAAGAAGTAATCTACAAACAGCATTTATAAAGACATCTTAAGATGGGACAATAAATTTGGCGCAAATGGAGACAAATATATGACATGCAAACAGATATGACTGAAAAGTGGTGCACATGCAATGATAAATTCCCCTCCATGTCTCTTCTACCATGGAAGCTTCTTACCTTCCTGTGGGCATGCCATGGTACCAAAATTAATTCCCTCCATTGCACAAGAGTTGAGAGCATGAGAGTTACATCATCCTTGGCTGGCCTATCAAGATGGCTGAAAAAGCCCACCTGCAGGATTCATTTATAAGACCTTATATTTTGGCTTTCGTTAAGCTTTACTTTGTGTGAGCCCAAGTCTTTAGCTGTTGGGAGGTTTAACTGAAGTCTGCCAGGTGTGACCAATAACAACTGGTCAACAGTTGAGACCAGCAAATGTCAGATTCCAGGAGACCTTACAGAAGTTGTGCCCAACATGTGGCCCACCAGAGGCGTGTTCAGTTGCTCAGCCGCTCCAAGTGCTGCGTTAGCAAACCACCACTGAGCCCTGTGCTGCAAGTCAGCACTCCTAACTTAGCACAGCTGCAGCTAACGATTATTTTCATAATCAGCCGATCATTAACATCGTCAACCCGCAAATGCTGCAGTGCCGTCCGTCCGTTTTTTTACTACGGGCGGACGGCAAGAGGTTAAAACAAGTACAAAATGTAATAAATCAAAATTACTTTTCATGCCTTTGTTATTGTTTTTCTTTTTACAAAAGGGTTTCTTTTTCAGAGATACTACCTCCAAGTCCAAAGAGCAACAGCCAACACTTTGGAGTGTACACACTTCTCTGCCCCAGGCCCCTGCCCTATATCACCACCCAAAGCATGCTAATCACTGCTCAGCCTTGCACCCTTCAGCTTTTCTGAGCATAGACTGTCCAGGGAGCACACATCCCCGACCTGTGGGAAGCTCTTCCTCCAGGTCAGTGCTGCTTTTTGAAAATGCAACCAGCAGCAACTTCTCCCCGCGCAGCTGCACACGGCTTTGTTTACACTGCCCTTAGTCACATGACAAGGGACTGAGGAAAAGTGTACACAAAGCATCATGTGGCTGCTTATAGAGATTGAGCCAGTGGCAGCATACACAAAAATAGCAGCGCTTACCTGAGATCAGGGATGCATGCTACCCATGTTATCACTACAACTGAAAATGTAAGTGCGTTCCCAACCTTCCCTCATGTGCAGGATTAATCAGGTAGGTTGGGGAAAGGGGCGTTTGAGGGCCACAATCTGCTGGGCACAGCTGACAAAACAGGATGGTGGCCTGCAGCAGTGTTTCACCCTACATGGAAAGACAGCTCTCCCCAAAGACGACAAAAATGGCTTACCAAAATAAATTAAAAAAAAGGAGGGGGGCAAAGAATCCGTGGAAAGGATGAAAAGAACGTTTACTGGAACAAACCATTGGTAACATAGGTGTCAGCACACACCAGTTTCCTACGCCTGAGTCCCAAAGACATGGCTATGCAGACGTTTTATAGAATTGTTATTTGCATAACCAAAAAGGAACTCCAGGCCTGTGGGCAGGTTGCTCGGGCACCAGGCATTGAGAGAGTTCTAGGTAGCACAGGAGGGAAACGTAGGTCATTAGGATGGTATGTTAGGTCAGCTTCCGCTGTTAGGTTACAGCTACAGTAGTTAAAACAAACCTGAATATGGGCTTCTCCATGTACATACCAACACATCTACCCTGGTACTGGTCCTGCTACCCACCCCAGTGCAAGGCCACATATTACAGTGATGGAGTGGAAGGGACTATGCCCTCAATTCAAGAATCCAGGGTGGGTGGTTGACGAGAAGGGGTCCAGGACTTGGCTACACAGGAAGAAAACTGACCTGATAAATGTCCGAGGCAAGCAGGGCTCCAGGTAGGTCTTGGTCACTTCTGGATTCTCTTAAAGCTGAATACCAGGCAGATATAAAAGACTCAAATTAACACATGAATGCCTCATTACATGGATATTTTATTTATTTATTTTTTTAAACACAAGCAGGAGTAAGACCCTAAATATAACTTGAAATCAGCAGTTTGCAATCCCTGTAAAGCAGAGCTCAGACTTGGAGAAGCAGCACAAGGAGCCAATCTGCTATGCGGTAGTACCAACAAAGATATGCGGATAAAAGAATGAGAGGTGAGCTCATCAGTCTGTCACGTCTCTATTTGCTGCCCAATCACAAGCTGGGGGGGGGAGGTACAAGACCAATAACTTTTATTGAACTGCAGCACAGTACAATCAGGTCTCCTGCCCGGTCAAGACAGTGCTGTGTAAATCTCAGTACTGGATGGATACACAGAAGTTCATGTGTAAGGGCTCAGTCACAGTACTGGAACTGACACCATATCGCTGCACCGGATCAACACAGGTCATTGCAACGGCACCAGACACAACAAATGCTTTTCTATGTGGCTGGTTTACACCACAACACTGTGGAGAGGTGCATCAGAGTTTAATGCAACACACACAGACAACACAACTGAAAGAAAGAGAAAATAATGGCCATTATTCTGTCCTGTCCAGGAAACAGGACTGAAAGATAATAAAACACATGCCAACTCAAACACAAGACACATATGAAAGCACAGAAATGCACATGCATGGTTAATGTGTTGCAGAGATTTTGTTGTGTAGTATGGTATAAATGGTCCTATGGGTTACTTTTACTGGTGTATAGCATGCACAGGTCCGTCCCCATCCACCCTATGGGGTCCCAGCACAGGATGACACAGTTCAGGGAACGCCAGAGGTGACAAACAACAGGAAGATGAACTATGTACAGACAGATAATAGAAGGCAGACAGCGAGGTATATAAAGAGTGCAGGAGCGGACACCTATAGAAAACACATCACACGTGACCATAGCCCTCCGCTCACCTCTGTAGCAGCCATAGAGTCCTGTGCCTTCCTCTCGGCTTTTATCTGCCCCCCTCCATAGTGCACTTCGGCTCAGTCTACCCGGAAGAAGGCAGTTGGTGACCCAGGAAGAGATTGTGTGTGTGGGAGAGGTCACCGCCTCCTCTTCCCCCCGCACCGGGCATGCTCGGGTGACGACAGAGCTGTGTCATCTCGTCATCACAGTGTGTGTGCATGAGGGGGGTACACTAATACCAATGCTTTATGTATATGAAGTTATAATAATGCCATGTATATAGGGGGGGGGATACTAATGCTGTGTATGTGGGGAGTACACTTATACCAATGCTTTATGCATTTGAGGTTACACTAATACTAATGCTGTGGATAGTAGGGTACACTAATACTAATCTTGTGTATCGGAGGGTACACGAATACTAATGCTGTCTATAGGGAGTACACTAATACTAATGCAGTCTATAGGGAGTACACGTATACTAATGCTGTCTATAGGGGGTACACTAATGCTGCCCGGGGGGGGTATACTAATGCTGTGTATAGGAGGGTATACTAATGCTGTGTATAGGAGAGTACACTAATGTAAGGTAGGTACACACACTGGTGCTGTGTATAGGTGTGCGGGATACATTGACACTACTGGAATGTGGGTGAGAAGGACAGAGACACGATTTCAGTTATTGCAGGCAGTGTACAGCGTTGCCTCAGAGCTGACATACTTCCCTCTGTCTTCTGTTATAAAGATGTGTGTAGAAAGACAAAGTGTTTTTCCTGGCTCTGCATCACTTCAGCACACAATGGGTCAGCTGTGCCCCTTGACCCACATGCAATCTGAGTTGTACAACCTTAAGATGTACCAACATGTAATGTAATGACATGTCTGATTAGATAGTTTAGGTAGGACCTCATATTACTTTGTGTTTGTAGATGGACAGATGGTAACGTGTATAGTTGCCTTATTGTGCAACCCCTACCTATCCCGGCCAGGTCACTATCTGCAAGGAGGTTGCATGTTCTCCCTGTGCTTGTGTGGTTTTCTCCGGTTTCCTCCCTCAGGGTTTGTTCACGCGACGTCCGGATTCTGTCCGGACCAGATCCGTGCACTCATGTACCCAAAATGCATCCCAATGTATCCCTGTGTTTTATGGGTTACAGTTTTCACAGGCGCAGTCCGTTCCGGTCCGGACAGAAAAAAATACTGCATGTCACATTTTGTCCAGTCCGGAAATGCACAAACCCGTCAGAAATGCGTGGAAAACGCACTGCACTGAAGCTAACATACTGACAGCCCCACTCCAACTGGAACACATCAAAAACACACTGCATGCATAGCACCACGTCTCCAGATCTGGTCCAGAAAATCGTGTGGCAAAACAAATGATTATCCGTGCTATAGTGCTCTGCCCCAAACTCCTCAAAAACACCCTATTGACAGCTGCAGAGATATATAAACTTCTCCCACAATATATTAAACAAAAGACACTGCGCTATCTCTAAT